ACAAACAGATTTATAATGGGCTCAGGTAATTAGAGAAACCCTCCTTAGGACTGGGTAGTTGGGCAACAGTTTCTTCTACCTGAGCCCAATCTAGTCCAACCCAGAGCATCCTGCTTCTGTTTCCCACAGAATGGTCTAGATATATAATCTAGATATTATATATTTCCCTACTCAGTATAAGGAAGTATCATGTACACTGAGACTTGATGAGTGAAAGCAGCAAACAGGCATTTTGGGGATGAGGTGATAGGGAAGCAGCCCAGAAGGTAAACTGCACACAAAGTCTCAAAGGCAGAGACCTGGGGTGAGTTCAAGCTCTTGAAAAGAGGCCAGTGTGGCCAAAGAGGGAAGAATGACGCAAAATGGAGACGATGAGACGGCACAGATCAGGTAGTCTTTTAAGCTAGGGTAAGGCATATCAATTTGTTCCTACATACAACAGGAAGCCACTGGTGGTTTTAATCAGGGGACTGACATGTCTGATGTGTGGCCCAACAAATCAGCCCAGCTGCTAGACTCAAGAGCAGAAGCAAGTCAACAGTTTCAGGTACAAAGTGACTGGCCAGCCCTAAATGACAACTCTTAAGGATGGAGCCAACAAGACATATAGGAGACACATCTTGGGGGCACAACTACCAGGAGGTGCTAATGGGCTAGATATGGGGAGTGTAAAAGATGCTCGGGTTTCAGACTTGGGTACCTAGGTAGTGCCCTTACTGAAACAGAAAAGACTCCAGGAAGGACAAGTTTTGGGGAGAAGGGTAGTATCAAAAGTTGTTTTAAAATATGTTGAGTTTAAAATACCTTTGGGATTTCCAAGAATTGTAAAGCAGAGAGTTAGATCTGCAAGTCCAGGGCTCAGAGGAGAGGTCTGGGCCAACTAAATAAATTTAAAAGTATCACATCTAGAAAAGGCACAGAATGAATGAGATCACCCAGGCAGCCACTGTAGAGATGATGGACTTGGTCAGCCACCCGGGGAGCCTCACATTCACCTGTGGGTATGACTTACAACAAGGGCAATATTTAGAGGGTCTTCTGTATTCAGCTGTAGGAATTACTGAAATAACTTCCCCCATGACAATGTTACAATAACCTCATCCTCATAAAGGTAACTTTTCAGACTTCTTGATTTCATTTCGTCTTTATTGTAGAAGGAGGCTTAGGCTTAACTATTTTTTGTGAACCTAGCTTAGCTTTTATCTCAAGCATATATTTACATACTCTCTATAAAACAGACAGACAAGTACTTCTCAGTACTTAATGTTATTTATAGGAGCTGAAAGCTGGAAGTCACTCAACCATCTAGAAAAGAGGATGGAGTAAACAAATCATGGCATTTCTACATAATAGAAAACATGAGGCCATTTAAAATGGTGTCTATAAAATAATAATACTTAATGACAGATATCCTCTCATGGCCATTAAGCAGTGGGGGCATATAAGCCAATAATCAATTTGGGGGGGGCAGTTTGGGGGTTTGAACTCAGGGCCTTGCACTTGCTAGGCAGGCACTCTACCACTTGAGCCACTTCTACAGCTCTAAACCCAATAATCTTTCTTTATACAAGGGATGTGAGTCCTGAAATCTCCATATAATTCAAAACTGGAGGAGACTAATTTTCTCATAGGAATAATGCAAAGCGAGGCAGGGTGGGAGTGCAGGGGTGGGGATGCAAACTACCCTCGTCACTGCAGGTCCATTACCTGCAGGCAGGCCTACACCACGTCGTTATCCCTGTGCAAGTGGCTTTGGTGAACTTAATGATTTTCGAAGCCCCTTCCTTATTTAGTAGCTACTCTTAAGTTAACAAATAGAACTTCATCATGACTGCTTAAACATCAGAGTAAAACGGTATTTAACTCCCCTTCCTAAGTTACTGGGTTTGGGATGTACCCCTGCACTGCATCACTCAGTGGAAACTTGGTATGTTAATGTTCAGATTTAAATTTTTTCAACTGCACAACAGTCACAAGTCCCCTTCTGGCTCACACTTCTACCTGGGATCAGGACGCATTTCTATCAGCTGAAGTGGCCCATCCGCTACATGGTATTAGTATCACAGTTTCTAATCTACAGCTGTGGCTCTGTAATTAAGGAAACCTCCTTATATCTGAAAAATGTGTAAGGTTCATGAAATTAAACTTCAATATTTTATATTTTTTTAGGTAATTCATATTTACATAAAATGTAAGTATAGTAATGCTTTTAAAAGAATAGGAAATATTAGTTATAGAGATAATGATTACATATTGATTTTTTTTACCAGATAAAAATGCTTTCTATGCATTTTTATCAGATTTTTACCTTTACCCCAAGTTTTTAACTGTAGTAAAATATAATATCAACTTTACCATTTTATCCATCCTAAGTGTACAATTCAGTGGGATTAAGTACATTAAAAATGTTATGTAACCATCAATATTTCCAGAAAAACGTATTTCACAATCTCAAAGAGTAACAGTACCCACTAACCAATGAACTCCTCTTTGCTGCTCTCCAATCCCTAGTCATCTCTCTTCTACTTTGTCTCTACGAAAACAAAAGCACCTGTTTTAGGTACTCCACATAAGAAGCAGCACTTAATATTCATATACTAACTATACACTGTGCTGGCTTATTTTACTGAGCAAAATGTCAAGGTTCAACCATGTTGTAGCATGTGTCAGAATTTCATTCCTTTTCATGGCTGCATGCATACACCACATTTTGTTTATCATTTATAGATGAGTTAACTCTGCTTTCTGGCTATTGTAAATGAGAATGACATGCACACTAATATACACAGTACCTTTTTGAATTCCTGCTTTCAATTCTTTTGAATTCCCTTACCTAGGAGTGCAATTGTAGTTCAGCATATAACTTTTGAGAAACTGCCAAACTGTTTTCTACAGTGGCTGCATCATTTAACATTCCCACCAGCCACACAAGGGTTCCAATTTTTCTTCACCCTTGCCAACACTTCTTATTTTCCAGTTTTTCTTGGTGTTAGCCACCCCAATGTATATGAAGTGCTATTTCATTGTGCATATGGACTATTTTTACATAAAACAAGTATAAATACTTATAACACATGCTATGTAGCAGATGCTGTTCTGAACACATATATATATTAACTAATTAATCTTATAAAATCTCTCCAGGTGAGAACTATTGTCACTTTCACTTAATTAATAGATAATGACAGGGAAGGTCAGTAACTTAGAACTGCAGTTCTGTAGTAACAAAGCCACAACAGAAAAAAATTAAAACACAGAGAAAAGTGGAATGAGGAAGATAAAGTCACAATCAGGGTAAAGAGAGACACCAATATTAAACATCTAGATACTTCCCTTAAGTATTTTTTCAGCATATTCTGAAAAACCCAGAGCAACTACATACACTATGTATCTCATTCACAAGTGTCTGCCTGTGCTTGCTAATTTGTTGCCAGTATTATTCATTAACAGTGAGTCCTATTTTATTTAGAAATGCCATTAATGGATGTAATCCCTCTTTTTCAGACATTTTGGTTGTCTCACGTTTTTTTCTTAAATGTTTTTAAAATAGGCAACCCACTTACACTGTTCAAAAACCAAAAAGCAGAGAAAGTTTTATCATAGAAAAGCATTCCTAACACTTGCTTTAAGTGCCATCTAGAGATTTTTACGCAACTACATACTACCCCACTGTCACTACAAGCTCTCACTGCTAGAAACATCTCTGCAGTAAAGTGCCTGGCATATAGGTCTCTCCTAAAAGTGAAACTGACTCTGCAAATTCAGAAACACATTTGTTGGATTTCAGCCTCCACATGTGCTTTCAGCACACAGATGAGTTTTCTCAAAGGCCAGGACAACATACACTATTCTTTTGTATGTCCTCGGAGTGGTAATGGCCTCCACAAATACTGATGTGTCTATCTGGGAAATGCCAAAGAACATCTCCATATAGTTTCTTTCAAATCTTGGACCTTTTCTAAACCTGATTTAAATCCAACATCTGAGCGTCCTCAGGGAGGAGGCTTTCTCCTTAGTAAGGGCTCTGCAGTTTCCTGTTCTCCAGAAATTCAGTAAATATGATTGATAGTCAAATCTGTACAATCTACTTGTGAGGGCACCTGAGTAATAGTCTCTCAAGAACTCATAACCTAAAAGCAAAACTGTGATAAGCATTAACCCAGAGAAGTAGATGTAATTAACAAAAGAAAATGAAGGAAGAAGGACCAGAAATAGTTCTGAAAGTGCAATGTGACCTGTGCTATGAAAAAGGCTTAGTCAGATATGCTCCTTGGACCTTATTCTAGACCAACAGTTCTCAAACCTGAAAATGCATCTTTAAAATGACAGGAGCAACTTGTTAGAACACACAGTGCTGGACCCTGGCCCAGACTTTCTGACTCATCAAGTCTTCAGTGGAGCCTGAGAATCTGCATTTCCCAGGGGAGGAGGACAGCAAGGATCAAGGGAACCTCTCTAAGAGTGACTGTTCTAGACAGAGATGGTGCTTGAGCAAAAACCAACAGGTGATGCACAGGGAATGAATAAGATGGTAGGTGCTGAAACACGGGCCTTGTACACATATGTGATTAAGGAATGTGGTCAGAAGTACAAAAATGAAAACTGTCCACATAACACACTATTTTTAGGGTAAATTGCCCTTCATTGGATGGCGATCTGACATTTAAGATTAAAACTATCTAAATTTAAGATTAAAACTAAGTATCCTTATGTGGTGAAATACTTATCGCTAACCTGGTATCTTATAACTTCACTTCCTACCCCAAGCTTTGTATCACACAAGTAAACAGTAAGGTAAGAATGAGGCCACAAATTTCTGGCCACATGGCCACTAGGACAACAGTGTCACTCTATTATTCTTTATAAATGAAAATATAATACTAATGCATCCTGATTTTTAATATTTTACTTAGTAAGCTAAAAGTTACAAGTTTTCAAAAAACAGTTGAAATCTATTCAACATTTTCACTTATGAATTTTAAGGACTGTTTCATACTCACCAAAACCATCAATATCTAGATTGTTCTCAATCACAACATCTAGCAGGGAGTCACCAATTTTTCCTTCGGTTGTTAATGTTTGACCATCACGGTTTATAAAGTGGACTGTTATTTTATCTTCTGAGCTGGAAAAGGAAATAGTTTTTTTAGTATTTCTAGCAATTTCAAAACCTAAAGTAAGTTGTTTTACCCTGTGAGGTCATGTGCATGTACGCTCTTTTACAGTATCTTCCTTCCTTTCCAAAGTTCATTGAGGAAGAAGACACCACAAATCAGAGGCATATCTACCTACCCACCTACCAGATAACAAGCTCACCCACCTTGAAATGGCAACCACTACCTATTGGTGGCCATGTGGTATCTATAATATGTTTCTCCACTGGTCACATTTGGCAATTATTGTCACTCATAAAGTCTCTCTTTTTTTTTTTTTTTGTTTTGTGCTGGGGAATGCCCTCTCATATGCTAAGCACACACTGTATCACTGAGGTACACCCCTAGCTCATGAAATCCCTCTTTCTCTCACATAGCTCTCTGACAATATCTCTGTGAATGCAGCCCTAAAAGGCAAAATCAGAGCAGTATAAAATCAAGCTGTATAAAATCACGTCATTCTGCTATCAATAGGGTGAATGCTGTGCTGGTGTCCGACTAGATTAATACCTAATAATCCACAGTTGATGAGAGGCCATAGTGGATGAGACACCACAGCTGATGAGAGACCACAGTTTGACACTTTTCTGAGTATATGAACATCTCATTTCAGTCCAGAGTGTATTCTCAAAAATCAGCAGAACTAGGAAAGATTTTTCATTTGTTTGTCTGAATCTTGGAAAAATAAATAAAATATCTTCTTACATGTTTTACTGCAAGATATTATCTATCAGCTAACTCACTTAAATTTCTCTCCCTTCTCAAAAACATACCTCTAAACCTTGGAAAAGAAATCATATTAGCAACTAGATCCTTATCCTTCATCACTATCATTTTTTTACCTTACAATTGAAAAGATAAATTTTGGCTTTAAATAATAAGTTGCAATTTTCACTACTACCAATAGATGGAAATAGTCCACCAAATAAAACTGTTTAATAGAAGTAAAACCCAAAAGTAAGTAACTTCAGAGCTATTAATATTTGGAAAACTATCAAATTTCACAGTTTCCCCAATTGGATAACACATTCCTTGGTAACACTGTAAAACCCGGGAGTTCCATCAATTACAAACTATCAAAAATGTGTGTGAGAGTGTGTATATGTGTCTTCCGCCTAAGGGCCTGTGATTTCCAACAACTTCTCACAGGCATACGTGCTTTAAACGTAAGTATTCTCACTTGCTTTCTATGCTTGAGACCCTGGGCTTGCTTCCCAGCACAGCAAAATGAAGGAGGAAAAAAAAAAAACCCAGTGGCAAAGTCAGAGAAACATTCCCTATCCTCCATTTCAAACACAGAACCCTCAGAGCAAGTGCTCGCACACATTCGTCATGATTTTTATACTGCACAACAGCCTTGGTCTTTTCCAAGGTAAAAGAGTTGAAAATGAAGACTCCCAGAGGCAGAGAGATTATCAAAAGAGCACAAACTAAGCAAGGCTATACAAGACATTGACTTAAGACATTCATGAGGTAAGACTCAGAGTTTGGAGAGCATTTATATACCAGGAATTAAGAGTGGAAAGAAATGTTGAGCTAGCCAATGTGAGCAATGGGTGGTATAGTTTAACCTAGGGTCAAGAGAGAAGGAGAAGCAGCTTTCGGGAAGATGGAAATGAGTTCAAGTTTAGACTTGCTTAATTTAATAACAGAAAAAACAGACAGGAATGTCTCAAAGCCAGATGGAAATATGGATGTGAGCCCAGCAGAGAAGCCTAGAGTTCTGACAAAATGCCTGGTAGGTAAAGCTACATTAAATACAATCGAAAGAATTCCATCATTTATGGAGTTACTGAAGCCTGAGGCTTTAGGATTGCTGTTCTCCTGGAACACAGTACAGCTAAGCTCACAAAGGAATTCGAAATCTCTTTCATATCACTCTCCTATAAAATCAAGATAACATTTACCCTATAATTTTGACAATGTACAAAAAATACCTAACACATAGAACTCAACAAATACTGATTAATAACTTTTATTTAAAGCTCAATTCCTTTTGCTGCTAAGTAAGAACCTACTCTGATGGCATATATGAAAAGCACACGGCCCTCAAAAAACAAACAAACAAAAAAAACCCTGCAGGCCAGGCATGGTGATGCACGTCTATAAGCCCAGCTATACAGGAGGCAGAGGTAGGAGGATTACAGTCCAAGGCCAGACCCAGGCAAAAGTGTGAGACTTCATCTGAAAAACAAACTAAGGCAAAAAGGGCTGGGAAGGTAGCTCGAGAGGCAGAGTGTTAACTCAAGGCCCTGAGTTCAAACCCCAGTACTGCAAAAGAAAAAAAAAAAGCCAGGCCTGCCAATTAAGATTTTTCATCAGTTTACTACGGAGAGGAAGCACAAATGAGAGAGGCACAGTAAGTCTGCAGCTGCAAGAGTGAAACAGTACAGAATCTAAGAGCCCCAACATGTAGTGTCCAGTTCTGGTTCTAACACACTCATTAGGTGACCATGGGAAGCCACTTACACATAAAATGGAGAAAACAGTGATCTCACCAAACTGTGAATTAAAGAAATTGATTTTCACTTAACGGTTAAGAGAGAGTTTGTGGAAATACTTTGTTCCTTAAAACATTATATACACGTACTTTACCAAGCAACTTTTATCTGTCCACTAACAGTGTTGATGGATTTTGTAGACTCTACCCCTACCCATTCCAAAAGCGAACTGGGAAATACATGTAATCCATCATCACAGCAAAGAATTATATCCTACACTTGTTATCCTTCATTCACCTGTACCATTTGCCTTTACCACTGGCTCTCCTCAGCCACAGCAGACATTTTACCTGAGCAGTCAGGGGCTCAGGAGGCTTTTAATGCCAAGGAAGCAGCAGCTGCTCTTTATTACACAACATAACCTGGACTCACTAAACTAGGGACTAAAGAATCACCATCTGGGGATGGAGTTCAATGGCAGAGTACTTGCTCAGCATGTGTGAAACCCTGGGTTCCATCCCCAGCACTGCAAAGAAAAAAAATAAAAACTACTTGAGTTCTAAACCAGCTACTTAATATGAAAATTTTATTCCCACTTATCTACCTTCCCTACCTCATAGGATGGTCTTAAGAGGCAAATGAAACAATATATGTGAAAACCCTCTGTAATCTAAATCACTGAAAAATATAATAGTGTGTGCCAGGGCTTGTCGGGATGGACAGATCAAGAGCATCTCAGTTCAAGGCCAGCTTCAGGGAAAAAACTCAAGGCCCTGGCTGAAAAATAAATAAAGCAAAAGGGGGCTGGCAATGTGGGCCAAGCAGTAGAGCAACTGCCTAGCAAGTTCAAGGCCATGAGTTCAAACCCCAGTACCACCAAATAACTAATAAATAAAAAGAAAGTACTGTGTCAACGTATGTTAGGGTAAAAGGAGTTTTGTCAACTCTCAATTAGTGACAGCTTAACTGAAAGTTAAACTTCAAACTCAGAACTATAGCTTTTTAGAAATGCTCTATTCAATCTTTGTACAGTAACAGAGATGGTCTCTACCTGCAATGTCACTAGCCACATGCAGCTACAGAGTTCTTGAAATGTGCCTCGTGTAACTAGGAAACAATCTTTAATTTCATTTAACTCAATGATCTTAAACATCAATAGCCACATGTGGTTAGTAACTACACTGAATGGCACAGATTTGGCATTGCAAAGGCTGGGAAATGTAGCTGTAGCTCCCAAGTCTGTGTAAGAAGAAGTACAGTATCCAGCCATGCTTGTAATCCCAGCTACTGGAGAGTGGCGCAGTGTCAGGAAGATCTGGGTCAGATGCGGACCTGGTCAAAGTTAGCCAGAGATGCTGTCTAAAAAATAAGCAAAAGGAGTGGGTGCTGAGCTAAAGTGGTAAAGCACTTGTCTAGCAAGTGCCAGGCCCTGAATTCAATCCCCCGCACAACACGCACACGCACACATATACACACACACGTGTGCGCGCGCGCACACATACACGCACACACTAATATCCAAATCCAAACAATAAATTTGGAGAAGACAATGCCCAGGTATGTCCCAATTCATATTCAGCCTTTCAAGAATTCATTCAGGGTAGGAACTAAGGCACCGAAAGGTTAAGGAACCACAGAGGAAATTGAACCCATAAAGCCAGCTAGTCTTCCCCATGAGCTCCTTCACCTTTATTTACATAAGAAAAAAAAAATTTATTGAGTAACAGACTGCATTAACAGACTATAGGGGAGAAAAGCCAAATCCTACACCCTCTTCTCAGCAACCTAATCAAAAAAAAGGAAAGTAGAAAAAACAGCATACGAATCCCACATGCTCTCTCTCCAATTCCTGCTACACTACCCTCTGCAAAGACTCGTCAGAGAGAGACCTTGACCATGTGACCACAATCTGAAATGATGAGTACATTCTATCTCTAGAAAATCTAGGAGTCGATGTCTTTGAAAAGTTAAGCAACTTAGTCTCAGATTAGGGCAAAGTTTAGAGCCCTGCCTTGCCACACTAGCGCAGGCGCCTTCTGTCTTCCCTAACAGAAGAGGGCACGGGCGGTGAGCGTACCCGTCCATTCTAGGGGGCACAGTGTACGTGGACACTCCCTGGAAGGCAACTGGCAATCTGCAGCACGACGGAGTCACGCAGGGACATCACAAAGAGGTCACAGCAGCTCAGAGCAAAGGTTACATCCAAACCGCCAAGGGCGGGATTTTCCTGAGAACACCCGAGGCTCTGGGGACGGAAGGAGGAACGTCCCGGGTCCCGGGTCCCCGTTCCCCGCCTGCCGTGGGTGTCTCAGGAAGGAATGTCGCCGCGAGGCGGAAGGGAGGCGAGGCCGGGGAGCGCGAGACGGCCGTGGCGGTGACCGTGACCCTGGCCGGGGATCCACCCACCCGCCCACCTGCGCCTCACCTGCTCCGCGCCGGCGCCGACGTGCTCAGCGGCCGGCTCGCGCCCGCGCCGCCACCCAAGCCGGGTCCCCGGCGCCCCGGCAGGCGGCCGGGTGCCGCTCCCGCTCCCGCTCCCGTGCGGGGTCCGGCGAGGAGCCGCCAGCGGCAGGCCGGGCGCCCGAGGCCGGCGGAGGCGGCGCGCAGGAGCTGGGCACTCCCCGCGGCGGCCATGGCCCGGGTCGCGGAACGGCGGGATGTCACGCGGACCGCGGAGGCTCGGAGTGAGGACGGGGCTGACGCCGAGGGCTGCGGGCCGTCCACGCGCGTCCTGCTCCGAGAGAGCGCCAAGCGCTCCGCAGGCCTCCGCGTGACCTTTAAACTCGGAAGGCCCCGCCCCGCCCCTCCCACGTCCTGCCCCGCCCCTCCCACGTCCTGCCCCGCCCCTCCCACGTCCTGCCCCGCCCACGCCCCGCCCCCCGGCCTGGCCGCTTCCTCTGGGGCGGGGCTGAGTGCTCGCTCGCCCGCAGAGCGGTCGACCTTGACGATTTCCTCTCTGGAAGAATGAATTTTGAAAGATAGCCGCATGCCTGGCGGAAAGACTTTGTAAAGCAGCCTCTGATTAACCCACCCACTTAGTGTTGTCCTCCACTTCCTCCCTACAAACAAAACAAAACCTAGGAGTTTACAGCAAAAAGAATTTGGGGTATGTCAAGCAAGGACAGTAGGATGTTTTGGAAAATTCCACAATGACAGTAGACGTTATAAAAGTATAAATCATCACAATAATGAATAGATTTAGGGCCGCGGGAGACGGTGGGTAATAATCGTGGGCCTGGACGAACAAATAAGTGCTAATTGAGTGCATGAGATTCAGCAGGAAATCTTTGGATGAACTGAGTTTTCTAAAAGACTTGTACTAAAAAGCACAAAAATGAATTTTTAAAGGCACTTTATTGAAGTTATGGAAAGAGGTTTTGAGGTCAGAAAAAGCAATGTCCAAACCCAAGGTCTACCACTTAGGCGGTCTGAGACCTTGGACAAATTATCCTCTCGGAGGATCAGAGTTTCCGTAACTCACAGATAAGATAGTCCACGTTTCAGGGCCATTCTGAGGGTTAGAGGAACACGCACGATGTCCAGTGCGTCACAAACCCTGAGCCCTGCCCTTAAGGGCACCCTTAAAACGGCTACTGGCCCAAAGTGGGTATTGCAAATATGCTAAACACAATAAAAGATACCTTTAAGAACATTGAACACAACGTAGTATTGACTTGGGTAAAGTCGTAGTCGGTATTTGCTGAGCACCCACTCTGTGCTTCCCCGACACTTTGTTTCCTCACGTGTAATTTGTGTAACTCTGCTAGACTGAAGCTCCCATAGGCACAGATGCTATCTTATTTATTTTCACACACCCAGCACCTGTTACTGGGCCCTGTACAGAGAAGATATTTAATAATATCTTTGTTAGGAATTGTGTTAGGCACTTTCACAATTTTATTTACTCTCTTATTTTACAGATGAGAAAACAGGCCCACAGTGGTTGTGACTTGCTTAAGAAATGTACTGTTAGTAAGTTATAGGTTCAAAATTCAAATCTAGGTGTATGTATTTTTGGGTTTTTTTTTCTAGTGGGACTGGGATTTGAACTCAGGGCCTTGTCCTTGCAAACCAGGCACTCTACTGCTTGAACCACACCTCTTGCTCCAAATCTAGGTGTTCTTGGTCCCAAGTCCAGGGCATAAGCAAAAGAAGTAATCATCTTATTAGTATTATTATGTATGTTTTTCAACTCTATACTCAATAGTAAACACTTAGCAATTAAGATAATCCATATAAATTTAGGAATAATATCAGAAAGAAATGTTACCTGAGTTTTCTGATTTTTTTCTGTGTGTGTGGTACTGGGGATCAAACCCAGGGTTTTGTGCATGTTAGGCAAATGTTCTATCACTGAGCTACATACTTCCCAGCCTCACATCATCTGAATTCTTTTTTAAGTATGCAATTAGATGGGGAAGGGGAAAAAAAAGACAGCATGCAAGTACCTAAGAAAATTTCATTCCAAGAAATTGCTGGTCCACTCCAAGGTGATTTAAAAATATAACTGACATTAATGAGTTTCTTACATGTAAATTAAATATATAACTGATAGTTAAATAAATTGCCATATCAGTCTTACTGATCTCCCCTGCTTACAATTTTGAGTTGCTTCCAATTAAATATACAGTAAATGGTGGTGTTTACTCATCCCTGACATGCTTCTTAGTACAAAACACGTAATAAAAAGACTGTAAGTTCTTTGTCCTTGCAAAAGATTGCTACCCTGGTGTAGTCTTTCTCTACTGCTGCTGTAATTAATTTACTATTTTCTAGTTCTTAGGTCAGAAATATGAGCTAGGGGTTGATGATTTATTATGTTACAGTTCCATGGTTCAGAAATCCAAAACAATACTCAGGGCTAAAGTAAAAGTGTCAGCAGGGTCCCTCTCCCTCCCAGAGGTGCTAAAACAGAAGTCCTTTCCCTGCCTTTTCCTGCCTCTAGATGCTCCTTGCCTTCCTTGGCCAAGTGACCCTTTTCTGACCCTTTTTCCATCAGTATGTCTCTCCTCCCACAGCAGGAAGGAAAGTGTCTCTACTTTTAAAGATTCAAGTGATTAGTTTGGGTTCATCCTGATAATCCAGGATAATCTTCCATCTCAAGGTCCCTACCCCTCATTACATCTGCAAAATCCCTTTTGCCAGGTAAAGTTCCATATGCACAAGCTCCAGGGGTTAGAGCTAGACATGTATGAGAGGCCATTGTCTTGCCTCCTGCACTTGGGATTAAATATCAAACAATTTAGCATTAACACTAAACATTAGCGATTCCCTTTCCATCATCTTACCTTCTGAGCTGCATTGACCACTATACATTAAGATTTTGACTTCCTTCAACATGGAGAAATAATGTGTATTGTGCCAACTATGGGTTCTGTGGGTATCATGTCCAAAGATAAGAAATTTCTAGCCAGGTGCCAGTGGCTCACGCCTGTAATCCTAGCTACTCAGGAGGCAGAGATCAGGAGTACAGTGGTTCAAAGCCAGCCCAGGGGGGCAAATAGTTCATGAGTCCCTAGCTCAAAAAATCCCATCACAAAAAAGGGCTGGTGGAGTGGCTCAAGGTGTAGGCCCTGAGTTCAAACTCCAGCACTGAAAAAAAAAAAAAGTTTCTAACCAACAAAAGAAAAATGTATAATAGCTAATTTATTGAGTGCTACTCTGGCCAAGCACTCCTCTAGGTGCTTTATATGCTTTAATTTATTTAATCTTCATTAAAAAAGCTACTAGGTAGATATCAGCATCATTGCCATTTTGCTGATGAAAAACTGAAGCACTATGCATATTTAAGTTAAATGAGGTGTGGGTTGTGGGGAGCAGACTGGAAGAGAGTGTGGCATGAATGTAAGGCAGAGGCACAACCCTGCCTGAGAGAGTGGACTGATATAGGCACAGCCATGTCAAATAATCCGCAGGCTGGGACTGACGATGGCCCCAGCCTCAGAAGAGGGCAAGGGCAAAATGCAGCACAGCTGTTTTTCCTAAAATGTTACGTTCAGAGAGTAGCGATGGCAGGTTCCTCCTGTTCTCAGTAACTACAATGTTACACCTCCCCTCCAAGAACTGTTGCTCCACCTCCCTGTTTGCCACTGTATATAATAAACTCGTATGAGGTGGACGAGGCTGTTGTGTGTCTTGCCCAGACCACCTGACCTCAGCTCTCTGCATGTTTGCCTTCTGTCTTTTGTCCTTCCTTCATCTCCCATTGCTCCCAGTTAGGTTTCTAGGACAAATTTGCACAGGTTGCAAGAGTGGGTGTTACTAAAAGAAATAATATTAGATGGCCTTTTGTATAGTAGTTTTTATAACACGCAAGCACAGCAGATACATATTTTTATAGCACTGTACAAAAAAAAGATTTTTCTCACCTTTACTTTTCCTTAGATTGTAAGAAACAGCTCCACTATGCCTTTTTTTTTTTTTTTTTGGTTTTTTGGTTTTTTGGTTTTTGGTTTTTTTGCAGTACTAGGGTTTGAACTCAGGGTCTCATGCTTGCTCGGGAGGTGCTCTACCACTTAAGCCACTCTGCCAGACAAATTTATTCACCTTTAGAGTTGATAGGACAACAGAATAGAATCTACACTTTCCATTTCTATTTCTTTTTCCTTGAATTTAAAGAAATGCTTCTGCTGGTGTGTGTGCGTGTGTGTGTGTGTGTGTGTGTGTGTGTGTATGTGTGTGTGTGTGTGTGTGTGTGTGTGTGTGTAAGAGAGAGAGAGAGAGAGAGAGAGGAAATTTTTAATTTTTAACTGGAACCATATCAGTTCCAGTTCTCTTTTTCATCTTGTTTCTGTCATTTTGCTCTAGGATATCTGTTCACATTAGATATGTATTTTTTGCCTTTAGAGTTCATTAATGTAGTTATTAGTTTGGAGTCACTTAAATGCAGGCCAGATTGAAATGCAACAGTAAAGAAAATTCAGTTAAACTGACCATGGCACTTGAGAGGCTGAGGCAGAAGAATCAAGAGTTCAAGGCCAGCCTGGGCTACATGACAAGACTCTGTCTCAAAAAAAAAAACCAAGAAAAATCTAGCTAACAATGCAATACTGTGGACAGTTAAGGCCAGTCCACAGGAATGCAGCATGGATCTTTCTTGGTTTAAGGTTATGTAACTAGAGAGTAATTGCCAGGTTTCCTTAAATTTGGTTGATACAAAGCTTTGGGTTACAGAAAAATTGTATGTCCTATTTTAATGTCATTTGTTATTTATGAGAGTATACAAATATCTGTTAATTGCAAAGCTTCATATTGGGAAGATGTTTAAAGGAATCCATTTCCATGAAAGTTCACCTTAAATTTTGATAAGCATTTTAGCTTCCCAACTCTTTTTTAAAGGCATCTGCATGCAAGTTAAAATCACTCTGGATACCATTTGTTCTATTTAAAAATCCATCATTTGACAGCACATTGTGCTGGTGGAGCTATGAGGAAGCAGGCAATCTGGTACATCGCTAGTTAGTATGCAAAATGGCCCAACTTCTATTGAGGACAATATGACATTATTTTTAAAAATTATGAATTCATTTACCTTTTAACCCAGGAATCCCACCTATGGAAATCTATCCCATAGACATCCATATAGTTGTTGTATAATATGAAATGATGTCTGCAAAGTTTTATTCTTTTGCAGCATTTTCTGTAATAGCAAAATAGAAACACATTTTTTTTTCTGTACTGGGGTTTGAACTCAGGGTTTTGTGCTTGTTAGGCAGGCACTCTACCACTTTAACCACACCTCCTGCCCTAGAAATATGATTAAATT